TGTAGACGTGAGCTTCGTAGTTGACGAAGCGATTACTTTAGTATAGATAGAATATAGTAGTATTAACGGTATAAACATCTCAAGTTGAATCGAAAGGCTCCATTAGTAGTCGGATGTTTGCTGCACTGCAATATGGGTGAGTTAACACAAAAACTCGTAGACAACTACACAAATAGAGATCTTTTTTTGTGAAAGTTGGCACTTCGCCAATAGGACCGGGAATGCGAAGGAAGCAAAAAACTTTGTTTATTTGAAGTATATGAGCACTTTATAAGCGCTTCTAAGGTAGAGACCTAAGATTCGAGTGTGCGATCAGATATTTGATGAATAGGTGAGTATATGAATGCAAGGATGTGAGACTATTATGTAAAAACCAATACATAATGTAATCTTAAATAAATAATACAATTAAGCAGAAGATTTTTCAAGATGATAGAATTGTTAAAGCCATTTTTATCCAGCGGACTTCTTAAGGCCAATTTTATCTAGCGGAATTTCAAATGAAGCCGCAGATTGATTTGCTGCAAGCTTTTGTGTTGTTTTACAAGAAAAAAAAAAGAAATCACCTCTATTGCTCAGTATCATCTCTACTCTTATAGCCTATGAATATAACTTGGGCAAAATGGTCGCAAATATCGGAGGGAGTGGAATAAGCGCCAGCCTTACGGGCATACATAGAATCTTTCAAGAATCCACTGCGATTCTGCTCCTTTGAAGAAGCACGATTGTTTATACGCTAAACGAACTCAGTTTTCGTGGAATCTGACCTAACTATGACACAAAAGATGAAAACAGCGATATTACCACGCGTTAAGGATTCTTAGTATGCGGTTCCCCGGAACTCACGAAAATAGGGCTGCTTCCCTCAAAGCTCAGCATCTATTCCCCTGACAATTCTACGATCAAGTGAACCCGTTACCCAAACAACAGCTAAATAATGTTGAGCGAGCAATTTATTTCCATGCCTCTCCAACTTGTACTTTCTGGAAACAACAAAAGTTGCATAAGTTTGCGTAATGTCCATATTGAAGAGGAATGTAAGAAGAGATGTAAGTTGAAGGGTACTTTGATGTGCTTCGCTTAACATTCACACGCTTCTGCACTTTTCCCCCAAAATCAGAGCCTTTTGAATGTACATGGATTCCCTCAGAAAAAAGAAGATCAAAATACTAAATTTAGACAAGCATGAAGGAGAAATGATTTGGAATA